CTGGTGGGTGGTATGTTCTGTTTCCCAATTAAGATGGAAGTTGCATAACACTGAAATGAACGATTTTAGAGGGAAAAATTCCATGGCGTTTAACACATTCACCCTGTTCTGCATCCAGAATCCATATCTAACGAGCAAAGCATCTCACCATGCCAAAAGAAAACCTCATTCCCCGTTCTCCCATCTCCCAGCCTTTGGCAGCCATAGAGCTGTACTGTGCCTCCGTGGATTTATTACTTCTTGACAACTCCATCTACTTTCAGGGTGCCTCACTGAGGCTTCTCGAGTTATACCTCATTGTCCAGGAGTGTGTCTCATTTTTATCTCAGCACAGTGCTGCCCTGGAATTTTTTATTTTTTTAATGCAATGTCTCACCAGATAGCCCAGGTTGGGCTAACTCTTGAATTCCTGGTCCTCCTGCCTCAGCCTCAAGTGTGCCTCAAGTCTGAACCACCATGCCAGTTTGATTTTTCTTGTTTTATATTTGAATACTCAGAGACTTGCAATCATATTTTACTCATTTTGAAGACACACGGGTTATTTTTGGCAGATTTTTGGGGGAGTAAGATTGTCTTAAATTGATAGTATTTTCAGGTGGTTTCAGGTGCCTAAATGAAATGGTTAATTCCCTGCCCTCTCGGAGCTGGCACTCACATAATGGCTTTGTAGATAAGCAATTAAATAAATACATGAACTGTGTAGTGCGTTCAGATATAAATGCTTAAAAAAATAAAAGCCAGAGCAAGGTGAGTCCCATCCCAGAAACAGAACAGAGACAGGGTGCCCTCATAACATAATGGTTCTCTTGCCATGTAACACATTACTCCAATACTGAGCAATTCCAAACATGCACATTTTGATACCTCCATTGCCGGGAGAGGGGGAGAATCAGGAATCCAGAAATTGCTTGAATCAGACATTTAAAAGCTTGATTGGAGTTGGGGGTTCCTATTGAAGATGGTTGACAAATGCAAAGGCTGGTGGGAGGCTGTTATGCCAGGATGGCTGTTGGCAGGAAGCCATGGTTCTTTGTCCTGTGGGCCTTTCCTTGGCTGCTTGAGTGTTTCCACGTCACGTCAGCTCACTTCCCCCAGAGCACGTGATTGTTTCCAGGAAAAAAGCCAAAGCCAGATGCAGCAGCACACACCTGTAGTTCCTATACTTGGGAGGCGATGGCAGGAGGATTAGGATTTGAAGGCCACCCTCAGCTACACAGCAAGTTTGAGACCAGCCTGGGCTACTCCATGAGACCCCATCTCAAGAAGGTGGGGGGTGGGGGGAGAGGGAGATGGGAAGAGGAGGAGGAGAGCACACCACAGCATCTTTCATGCCCTAGCCTTAGAAGTATCTTCATCACTCACTTTGTCCCACTCGTGAGGAGTGAGTCATGCCGTCTCTTCCATATTCAGGAAGAGGGAAGTGAAGACAGGAATGTTAAAGAACTTGTGGACATGTCAGAGAACCACTGCAATTAACTAGGGCTGTCAGGATAAGAGAAAGATGGCATCTGAGTAAAGACAGAGTGGGCTAGGGTATTAGCCAAGCTGACCTAGAGGAGGAGACAGCATTCCAGGCAGAGCAAGCCACCAGAACTGTGGGCCTGGAACTTCAGGCATGCTGGCAACAAAGGGAAAGAGCGTGAACCCTGGGAGGCCAAAGGCTCTGGATAGGGGTGCCACATTTCCTCCTCCATCAGCAGCTGAATGAGGTTGGGTGGTCGCTTCACTTTACTCCTCTGTGAAATGTAATGATAGCACAGGTTGAGTTTCTAATGTGCTTAGGAGCAGAAATGCTTCAGATTTGGGAGTTTATTCCATTTCACAATATTTACATAGGCTTAAGCATTTTTTAATATAAAATTTTAAAAGTGTAGCTGGGAGGGACTGCTCAGTGTTTAAAAGCACTTAATGTTCTTGTGAAGGACCTAGGTTCAATTCTCAGCGCCCAGATAGTGGCTCGTAACTACCATTAACTCCATCCAAATCCAGGGGAGCAGAAGCTCTCTTCTGACTTCCAAGGGCACCATGCCTGCAAACATACAAGCAGGTATGATATCCTGAGAGCTCAGATCCTCACCACCCGCAAAGAACACTAAATGTGACAGTACAAGCCTGTAATCCCAGAGCTGAGGAGGCAGAGACAGGAGGCTCTGTGGGGCTTGCTGGCCAGCCAGCCTAGCACAGTCAGAGAGCTCCAGGTTCAGCGAGAGGCTCTGTCTCAAAATACAAAGCAAGGAGGAAAGCAATTGAGGAAGTTGAGGAAGACACTGAATGTCTACTTCTGGCCTTTACACACACACACACACACACACACACACACACACACACACACACACAC